GTTCACAGTCAAGGTGTTTTGTTCATGTATGCATAAACATACGCGTACGCGTCAATACGCGTTTGATCACGTTTAAATCCATAGGAGATAGGGATACACGTGTCGATAGTTTGCGTGTAACGTGATTGGTTGAATTAGAAATTGAACTTGGAAATATTTTCCTTACACCGCATACACACATTCGCTATCTTTTCCTTCGTGTTATTATGACACTCGTGCATCTTTTTCTAGTCACATCAAATTTTATTAACGCTAATAAAACGTATAGCAAATTTCTCCACATTTTCCCTTTCGCATCTTTTCTCAAGGATCTTCTTCTTTTATTTTTTCATCTACCGATCATTTGACCGGTCGTGGTATAGGTTTAGCGTGAAAGGAGGACTTGGACACCCAATCGCGCGTAATTCTATAGAGAAATGATGGAAAATGACGACGATGTTAACGACGATTTGAAAATTCTCTATCGCGTGAATTCGAGGGGACTGGATAAGTCAATGGATTGGAAAATAGAGTATCGTAGCAGACGTTTATTGCTCGGCACAAATTAGTGACAGTCAGTTATAATGATTATCATCGGAGGTATCGAAAACGCGCAGTTGTTTTTAACGAGATTAATGTTTTATTTAAATAGAAACGTGATTATATGTGCTTGTTTATCTACGTCACGCTACTTCAATTATTGTCGTTTGTGTTTAGTTACACATTACGGGTAGGTAATTCTAACGTTAATATCGATATATATATATATATTCACACGGCATCTTTCTCTTTAGCGTTTTCTAGAAATCTTTTCTCGTTTAAGGGTAGTAAGGGTAGTAACATTTTTGTATTTAAAAACAGGAAAAGAAATTCGAAATAAACGTAAACAAAGTTTATTGGCATCGTGCACCGTATGACGTTAAATTTAAGAGAAGATATACCGTCATACGTATATACGATATATAAATATATAGATCGTGCTCTCGAATGTTACACGTCACCGGTAATGTTCGCTATTTCATTCGCAGAATTGGAATTAAAGTCGTAAATAAACGAAGAATCAGATTTATCTGGAAAATCGATTAAACAAAAGTATTATACATCGTATTTTGAGCTTGACGAAGATACAAACATTTTTGGTCTAATAACTTTGATTAATCGAGAAACAAAGAAAAAAAAACAACTAAGAAAAATATCTTCGAAATGATCGAGAATAATATTCTATCGAATTTACACTTTTTTTCGTGCTCATGCAAAATATACGCTTCCTTTACCCGACGATCGCAATATGTACCTACATTTATAATGTACATTTAAGTAACGTTAGCGAATAAACGACGAATGTTACGAAAATTTTAACATTTTGATCGAGACATCAATTTCATTTACATCGTAATAATCGTTACAATTTCGGCGAAAAGAATAACGTTTACTTTGTAATTTTCCGTATACGCGACGAAAATGAAATTACAAGTTTCTAATACGATTTCGATCGGAATTTCGATCGGAAATTATTCTATTGTATATGTGTATTAAAGTACGGAAAAATGTGCGACGATGCGCATTGCAAGTTGGTCACCCTATATATTAGCAGTAAAGAAATACAATTACTGGTACACGTAAAAGAAATTAGAGGTTGTCAACGCGTTTTATACACGTATTTTCCTTATGGCGTTTCAGAGATCTGATCGTTAAGGACACTATCTCGTACGATATACGCGTATTACCGCGGAATATACAGATATCGCGAAATACCGTAAAAGTATAAATAAACGATGTCTGGTTTTATAACGAAACTATGTTTAAATTGACATTTGAATGATCGGTACCGGAATGCAGCTTTTTAATCGACTTTGCAACGTTTCTATAGATTTACATGCTATATTTTCATATAACGATGACAAGAAATAGAAAATAAAAATAGATTTTGTAAACAGTTTGGAATACGTATAAAGATATGTATAAAGCAACGATATACGTATAAGCGTGGCAAGTACGATGGCGTATTTCTTAGGGCACGTCTTGCACAAAAGAGATTCATATCAAACCGGACATACCGATGTAACTTTTATAGCCGTTTCCACGGAAATTGGAGTAAATTACGAGCACGCTTGTTGACCTTCTTCGTTATAGGAGTTTTCGCTGAAATTCGATTTCATAAGCGGATTCGTAACAGACACGTTAATTTTCTCGATTCGTACTCGCGGGAAAATTGATTTGTATTCGAGAAGAGATGAAAGAGACAGAGACAAGTGGTTCTGACAGCATCTTTAGAGTGGGAAGAACCGATGACTAGCAACTGGCGAGGGGCCCTGAACTTCGTGTAAAAGGTATATACTGGTCCAGAGCGCCCTTGCCTTCGCTTCGTCAGTTTTTTCATCGTCTGCTCTCGGACTGCTGCTTTTAAAGCGATCGTCACGGGCACCGCGCTTTTAAGCGGTTCTTTCACAGCAGGTGTGCACGCATGTCTCTTACTTGCTGCTACTCCTGCTACTCCTGCTACTCCTGCTACTCCTGCTACTCCTGCTATTTTTCTTCCATAATATTACTCCCAATCGTTAAAACCGTGTAACTGCTATGCATATTAAGAGGTTACGCAGTGACGTACGGATATACCGCGGATCCACCCTCCTCTTTTCCATCATGCTCCCTATAAACCTTCCTATCCCGAATAATTGCCGGTTTCTTTTCTTCTTTCTCTTGCGTAGCTCTTCGATAACACACCTCGGGCAAAGCGAACAGACACGTCATAGTTCCCACCGATGTAACAAAAACTTTCCGTTTCCAATAAATCCGATAAATAATCATCTAATAATAATAGAAGCACCAACCTGTATACGTATGAGTATTTACAAATATTTCAAAATCGACTCTAACAATTTTTTTCCTTTTACCAAACCTACATATTCGCCGGTTTGAAACTTATAACACGTTTTCTCCCGTTGCACGATCATTCGTCGATAAAAGTGCAAATTAAAGATCGATTTAACGTGCAATTAGAAAAAAAAGAATTACAGAACTCCTGCATGTAATAATTGGACAATTTTAACCTTGAAATGTCATAGGCGCGGAAAATATTCGACGTAGTAAGTGTTTTTATTAATAAAAAATAAATAATTCTATTTCGAGCATTTACCATTCAAGGATTTTTATTTTACCGATCGTTTATTATTCACGTTCGTTGCTTTCTCAGTTAATCGCTTTTATATTTTAAGTAGATTTTTAAGTTAATTTATATGTTATATCTTTCCATCGTGCGAATATTTTTTCCATCTTAAAATTCCTAGTCGTTCAAATCTAATTAATCTCTGTCGTTACGGATACGCGGTAAACTATGATAAATGAAAAATTGCCACGTAGTGTCATAAAAGGAATGTTTTGCTAGATTTTTTATCCGTGGTGTTTGAACAAAATGTTTCATACCTTTGATCGATACTCGAAAAGAGATATTCAATTTTCATATCTGCCAAATTTTACGTCGATCTGTTAATCTGTACGCAACTCTGTCGTACAGTTAAAAAGAAGGAAAACACGTAACTTTGAGAGAAATGCATTCAACGGTACGACCAAGAGTAATAAAATGTTACTTTTAGTTATGTACTAATGTCTGTAACATACGATACGCGTGTTCTTTTTCAAAATCTTCCTATTTTTACAAAATATCATTTTTATGACTTACTCGCTTTATCGTTTCTATAGTCTCAATCTTGTCAATTTTCGTTCAATTTTCGTTTTCGTTAAAATCTATAGAATTGTATTAAATCCCTCAGCTGATGGAAAAATTGCAAAGCAGATTTCGTTTAACGTGTAACATAAAAATGATCATGTACGTTATTGATTTTCACGTGCAAAACATATCCAAGTGGACGAATTTGGAAAATCAAGCATAGAAATGCTTAATATCATATTAGATGAAGGACTTTTGAATTGCTTCTGTAAATAATGCTGCAAATTATTCTTATTCTTTGAAAATCGTTTGACTTTAGTAATTCGGTGAAGAGTTTCGTCAACATTTTTCACTTGAACGAGTAGTAGCATATTTATAATTTGTTATTTTTATAAATTATAACATTGTACCTTGGAAACGTATATTCAAAACCGCGAATTACTCTCTTTTTCCAAACTCTTTATTACGAAACAATCCTTTAATATGAATTTCTATATTTTCTTACCCTTTAAAAAGAAAAAAGAGAAAAAAAAAAACATAGGAAAAGATAATATATTATATTAAATACAACATATATATTGAAATATTAAAACAAGTAGCAATTGACGAATTGCAGATTTCAAAAACGTTGTTCGAATTGAGATTAATACGGCTGAAAAAGAAGAAGAAAAATAAAAGGGAGTCGAATTTTAATATCAATGAACGTAACGGTTAATGGAAATCAAATTTCGTTTTAATTAGATCGAAAATAACGTACATTCACAACGAGATGAAAAAAATAACACCGAGAAAATAATAGTTTACGCGTTACCACGAAAATATTTGATTAAATTGTTGCTGAAAATGTCAATCATCGCATTTAGCGTATCACCATTATGAATAACTTTTAAAACAAATTTTGACGTTTATTAATTATACGTATATAAAATCATATGGATTTATATTTAAGAGTACTTTGTTCCGGACGATATATTTACAAGTTTGCTCGGTACAATAAATCATCGTCGTACGCCTTAGATTAAACGCTTCTCTATTTTCATCGGATTAAATAAATGACGAAATAATTAATTGCAATGAATCAAATCCAATCCAAAGCTACGTTGTAACGCAACGTAAGATGAAAATAATTCTGCTTAAAAGATAACGAATATTTTTATTCGTTGTAAACGAGTTTAATAAAGCAAACGTTAGATAAACAGAAATACAGAAGAGAATAAGTATGCAAGCAAAGTATTCGAGAATTTACGTTTTAACGATTGTGTAAATATACATCCAAGTCGCGTGTTTTATCGTAATTAGTCGCAACAAGAAATTCCTTTCATTGACACAAATGGTACAGAAACTATGAACTTACCTGACAAACAGCTGTTCTTGGTTATTTACTCTCCAGGATACCACGGTAGCTCCTAGAAAATGGAAAATTTCGATCAAAATCTAAATACGATTTGTTTATTTCTGGCGTCCGGAAAAATAATAACGAACTCTCTACTCGATGTTAATTTCCATGGAATTAAACTCTACCGCCACGCACGCTTGTCATCTAGTTATGTCATTCGTATTGAAAAATTTCGGGAAAAGCTACGACGTGTTTACAATAACTAAAAATTTTCTCCACCAGGACACTCTTTTTTTTGAAAATATTTAAATAAATTCGGTAAATAAAGATGCATAGTAGAAAGAATAAATAGACAACGCGTTGAATTACTGGTTAAATTGTAAACGTTCGATATGTAGAGATGCATGGATCCGTAGATACACGTATGAAAACAGCACAAAAACTGGAGGTTAGGCTTGAGTAAAGGCGCGCACACACTTTTCTCCTCAAACGAAATATAAAAATACGACACAGATCTGGGAGCGGTACGTTATCAACGAATATTACCGTATATATTCATTCAAACTTTTTCCTCGCGCCATCAATGTTTTCTTTAAATCTTTTTTTAACGACACCTTACGATGATGTGGAACATTGCCTTTCGAGATAAAGATGATTCGTCAAATATACGTGTATGTGTATACGTGTGCGTATGTATGCCTGCGTCCGTGTGTATGTATACATCGGTATCGGTGTCCTTTTACGCGTTATGTCAAGAGGATTTTAATAAAACTCGATTGCCAACTCGCAGATCTGATCGTTTGTGGTAATCTGCACGCGCGCACACACCGTGTAAATTAATCGTGCAGGTGGTATTGTTGCCCCTGTCGAGCACGACAACGCTGGTAGCCGCTGCCATGTTTGAGTCGTGAATGCGCCGCCGACTCCTCGACCAACGCAGTCAACCTTTGTTCAATGCCCCTAGTTTACCCCCACCATATTTCGATTTACTACTTTAATACACAAGTCATTCATCGTTGAGTGCCATCTGTCGGCAACGCTTCGAACCTTGTAGGAAAGCGACGTTTCTTTCGGTAAAAACGATATTCGGTAATAAAGAGACGAATACGGAAGAAATAATTATTTCGTTTAACGCTGATGCATTTTGTCACAAATGAAATTTCTTTCCCATTGACACGATACAGGTCGGTTAAATATTCCACATCCCGAAATATATTTGCTTTCTTTTTTTTTTTTTTCTATAAATATCTTTCAATAACTCAACATTAATGAATAACAATAATAGCGACATCTTTTCGATTATTACTCGGATTATAATACGACGTACGATACATGTATAAAAGTATATCGTATTATATTATGATAAATAATTCTTTTAAAACAGCTTACAATCTCGGATAAAGAATATTACGTTTCCTTCATAAGATAAACTATAACTTAGTTACAATAAAAATGAAAGGGAATAAAATTTATATCAACGCGAGAATTTAATTATTTTGTTTATCAACGTAATTGGAAGAATTTTCACGGCGTTTAGAATTTCGATTTTAAAATTCCCGCCACAGTCGAGTGGCGGACCAATCGCATTACGCAGTTGCTATATTTCTGAACGGCAACATTGGGTTTGTTACGTGAGTTGAAAACATGGCATCATTGTAACAGTGGGCCAGAAGACGGGACCGGTTGACAGAAAGTTTGGTATTCTACTACGGTGATGTGTCGTTCGTTGTGTAGTGTCATCGTGCGTTGTATCGACTCGACGGAAAATTTAGCGAAAAGTCGCGTGTCAGCGACAGTTACGATCATTTACGATAACGATAACGTGAATCGAAAGTAATTAGCTGGCAGTGTGTGGTGCTGTGGGGCAGGAGACGATGAGGGTCGGGGGGATAATTCGGGTGGCGACTTAAGGGCAGAAATGTTGAAATTTGGTAGTAAAAGTGACGTTACGGTGGTGCATCGCGCCACTATTCGACTGCTAGACGACGCCGAAATTATCCACTGCGACTTTCAGGTGAGATTCTCGTTAACTAGTCACCACACGCGACCAACTATCGATGACGCTTGTACACGCGCTTTTACCCCTTTTCGTTCTTGCTGCCGGTAACGATCGCTCAGTTTCAAAGCTTTAAACAAGCCGAGAGTTTGCCGGTTTGTAAATGCCTAAATCTGTCTACGCGTTGGTCGAGAAATTTTTGCATGGGTGCTTGTATCTTGGTTCGAGCGAAACAAGCATTTCGATCGATTCCAGAAAATGACTACTACAACTGTTTCTTCGAACGAAACTCTGTTTTTGACAGCGATTACGATTCAACGCGTTGAATTAACGCGAAATATCTTTGTATATCTACCATAGTTTCATTTTTTCGTGTTTGCATATTATAAACATTATTCGTACTCGTATCGTAAACGAGTTTTGCATCGTGTTTTGCACGTTGTATAGCGCGATTATTAGTGAGTGGAAAAAGCGAAATGTATGAATAGCGACAACGCCAGTGTGTCATTTTCTGTATTACTAGGTTATTCTTGATTTCGGTGCGATGACATTTTAGAACCTGTTAGCAACTACGGTGTCTCGAATTTGCGTTTCCCTTCAATTATGTAATTTTTCGATAAATTAAACGGGGTTTTAGCATACTTCTGTTATAATAACGTTTAACTCGAATCGCGAAATGCGTATTTATGTTGATGTTTTACCTGTAATATCTGCCGTGTACGTAACCTGTGTGCGCATCTATGTATGTACGTATGTACACACGCATGCACACATACACACACACACACGTACACGTACACGTACACGTACACGTACACGTACACGTTTACGTAACCTGTGTGCGCATCTATGTATGTACGTATGTACACACGCATGCACACATACACACACGCACACACACACGTACACGTACACGTATACACCTAGTATTGACGGTTTTCTTAGGTCGCAGGACCACGTGCACTTACTCCCAAGAATATTACGATATTACGGAATATTTTTTCCACTATATTTTTATAATCGAATTATTCGTGTAGTACATATTTATTTGATCGTTTTACGGGAAAGAACATATCGATTTGGTTATTTGGGAAATTTGTACATGTAGAGTATTACAGATTTTATTTCGCAGATGTTTCGAATATTATCGAAAATTAGTATATTACGAGTCTCGATAATGATGCATATAAGGAAATAGATGTGTGTACATGTTGGATACACCGTGTGCACACTACACGCACGCGCGCACGTGTGTAAGTACATACACGGCAATTTTATATATTTTTAATTCAATTATGGATTAGCATTAGAAACTTTGTTTTTCCTTTCAACGGGAAAAAATGATACAGCGCTGTGAAATACGAAACGTTAAATAAAATATACTACCTATTTTGTTCGTTGTTAAAATTTCAATAATTTGTGATTTACTTAGATTCGCGTATATGCTGGCTACGAATTCAGTTTTTAAGATTGCTCTTTCGGTTTTCGCTCCTCGCACGTAATATAATATACCGAAGTAAGGTAAATAGTAAAGTGCTGTGAATAATTAATTTCAGTGTGTAATTATACATAACCGACGTCGATACTTATATACATTTTGTATATTTTGCATATAAATTTTATTTACCTACATAGCGTTCTTAAATTAGCGTTAATCACTTTATAATTTACTTTTTATAAATCACCTTTTCTTTTCGATGTTATTATTGCGCGGTAATATCTAATAATAAGTATAACGAGTAATATGAGATATTTAATGTACCTTAATTATTTCGGCATTTCAAAAATTTGTTGCTCCAACGTTCGGTAAGCTTATTTCTCTAACTAAATACTATAAATAATATTTATAGTAATTGATAGACACGCGCAATTCCTTTATAAGTTGATATAACGTTAATATAAGTAATACGTACATTTTTTCTAATTTATTCCTTTTTCTTTGGCCTTTGTATATTTTTTACAAAATTTATCATAGATATTTATTTGCTATTTACTACGTAACCCATAGCACAATCTGAACGGATTGACAACGTCGTGTTTTCTCTTTTATAGAAATATGAAATGTATATGAAACCCTTATTAATAATGTACACATAGTACAGACGTGCGCAGAATGATTCGTCTAAACTGTTACAAATGAATATTTTTAATATGAGACGAGATACGAAATTTGCTTACTATATTTATATTTATAGAGAACGCGTTATTCGTAATGTATGAGATATTTTTAGGTAAATTTCTATTTCGTATTTTTTTGATATTTTTTGTAAATATGAAAAATTTTTTATTAAATACAACGATGCGCTATGCTATCATGGCCGATGTTCTGTAGACTGTGGCAAACAAAATTTATGCTGTAACTTATGTATGTATAGTCCTTTAGTGGACGAAGCCCGAATTTATTTCACGTTGAAATATCCGAACGAGTAACATTGACGGAAACTAGAAGAGATACGGGACTCGAAATTTTACTTTAATTTTCCAAGTGTCAGTAACCCATTTTGATAAAATCTACGGAAGACTTATTTTTTAGATAAATATTTCACTCGTATTATTTTTCCTTTTTCCTTTTTCCTTTTTTTGACGATTGTTCCTATCAACGATAGGCGACGAGGGGTGGAAATAGCCGTGAAAGTTGACGAAAGAGATATATCTTTTTGCGATAAATTTTATTTATGTTTCATGCAATTTAATTTAATTTATTTTATTTTATTTTATTTCATTTTGTCATATAAACCGTGTTTCGAAATACAAATTTTACTAATTTACGAAAACTCCTTTTGAAAAATCTTTCGAAAGTTTCATCGAAATTGATGCTTAACGCTCCCTTGTTAGATTCAGTTCCCATTGAAATGTAGGGTGCTGCCTGTGTGATCATGGGTGTCGCTATAACAATTGGCGCCCTTGCTCGATGCTTTAATTAATGGTCTTGCTATTTTTCTTTCGCTGATCGTACTTCCTATTAGGATTACACGAACGTATTCTTCAAACGTAACAAACATGCTTCGATAAATCTGACAATATTTTTTGGAAAATCCATCATTTTGGACATCTACTTTGGTCATTTTGGTCATCTAATCTTTGATGATATCTCCTTAAGATGTTCCTTCCTTTCCGACGTCACAGTCCGAGGATCTTTTTCTTTATTTTATTTCTATTTCAATTACCTCTTTTAAGCAGACGAACGAATAACGAAATTAATCGTGTAGTTCCTGGCTATAATTTTATATCTCTTTATTAAATACCGTGTAAGATGTAACGATTGTTTTATTTTATTATCGCTCTGGTAAACGACTTCGTATTGTACTATCTATATTATTTATGTATTCTTATATGTATATTTAATTTATTATATATTATTTATATATTCCGAATATGCTGCGGCGAGCAAAAGTGAATCTGTACTAGGTTAATTTTTGGACAGCTATAGCTTTGTAAGGAGAAATCGTACAATAACGTTCGTGGAGTCGATATAAAGTATTTTTGTACTTCAGTACTGTATTTTTACATCCCTGAATTGAATCTATGTAGTAAATCATATAATATTTAATACAATATATTGTCGAATAAATCAGTTAGAGTTATTAGGCTGTAGTAATTAATACCTATTAGGTTGGTGTATCTAAAGATGTTGTTTCTCGAAAATTGTTGCGAATAGATATACCGTATCTCATATTTTGCCCTATGTTTGATGATTACAAGTCACGAATAACAAGAAAACTTGAAGTTATTAATTTCAAATTGTAAATTGTAAAATCTTCCTACGTTCCGACGTTCCTACGAAATATTACATTAAATATAAATTAAAATTGTCAATATTTTATAAGTTTAGCATTGATAAATTATAGGATGTGAAAAATATAAATCTAACATTTGAAGAAATTTATGCTAATGTTAAGATAGTTGATCGTTGATTTATAGAATTCAAGACTGATGACCTTTCATTGGAGAATAAGTCAAGAGGAAAAGGCCGAAAAATTGCATCGTCGATAGTGTTTTAAGAGAGATCGTTGAAAATAATCCACGAGAAATACTAGAAAAGAGAGTATCTCGAACGAAATTAAATCATTCTACGATTATTCGTCGTTTGTTGAAAATAAAAAAGATAAAATGGTGGACAAATGGATTCTATGGTTAAGCGACAAGCAAAAACGAAGATGAATGAAAATAGTTATTTTGTTGTTTCAAAACAATAAACAGGATGGATTAAAACGTGGAATTTTGTCAGATCCTTCCTCCCACCCCTTATTTCACCCTTACTGTACGCTTGTGTATCAACAAATCCGTTAATCGAACAGTTCCTCGAAAGTAGCATTTCAAGAATGTCTCAATTCCATGACCAATGATCGTTATAAATACCACAGCTATTTACAAAAGAGTGCATAAAATTGCGTGGAAATTATTTGCCTTTCTTTTTCTTTTTTTTTTTATATATGTTTTGAAGTATAAGTGAGGACGTAAAATTGAAAGTTCTTCTTTACGAAAACGACATTTCGAATGCACCAACTTAATATATTTGTAATTTAATTACCCATGTAGTAACCAAATATTTTGTCGTATCGTTTTATACACTATTTTACAAGTAAAACTTAGGAAGTGACTTTAGAAATATAAACGATGTATTTTACATAATCACCGATGAAGTTATTAATATGAAAAAGATACGTTTATTCGATAGTTGTTTTTTATTACTAATTCACGCTATTACTGCCGATAAGCAGTGCGATAGATCATAGGATAAATTGGTCCTGTAAACGTTCCATAAGTTTGTCGATTCATAACTCTTACCATGAAATTTTACCGCCAAGTTCATCGATGATTTCACATTGTTAAATATAGCTATTAATCGCTCAGACCTATTCAGTCATTCATTTTAAAATCGATCAACCATTGCAAATGTTTTCCACTCGATTCACCGATATGTAATTTGTTCGTCGTAGTTTTTAGCTGCGTTCTTATCCTTATTCTCTGTCCATTCGATGGTGATGTACATACATGTAAAAGTGGCGCAAAGTTTT